CCCCCCCTCGCCCAGTTCCACTTTCCCTGCCCATTTCGGTCACTCTGCCCGGGACGGGTGCTGTGGATGGCCATGCTCCTTGTTGCCCCCCCGGGAGAGGCCGAAGGTTGAGGGCAGGTGGGCACCGGTGAAAGAGAGCCGCCACTGTGGGGCGGAGGCCAAAAGGGTGTCGGATTTGGATCTCCGGGAGTCTCCCAGGCTCGGATCCCCATTCATGCCCGGGAAGCCCGCTGGGGGACCTCGGGCCGGCCACACCCTCTCGGCCTCACCTGCCTCCCAGGGCTGTTGTGAGGATAAAATGGAGGAGAGGGGAAGGGTGGGGAGTCGCTTTGGGTCCCCACGGTGCCAAGCACCTACCTGGCCCGGGAATGGAGAACTTGATGAGTCCGGTCCACGAGCCGTTCCCCGCCAAGGAAGTGGCTCGGACCTTGGCAGAGTAGTTCCCCGGCTGGAGCAGGGCGAGGTGGAAGCCTCCGTCTTGTGCATAGCGGTGGCGGGAAACGCAAACCACGGTCGGGACTTTCTGCGTGAAATCGGGGAGGGGTGGTGGAAGAGAGAACCTGAGCGAGACCTCACAGCCCCCCACCCACCCCCCGTGGCTTGGGAACGAAGCATGCCGAGGGAGGGAGGGAGGGAAGGAGGGAGGGGCCGGGAACATCATTCAGGCGGAAGAAGGACTTGTCCTGTGTGTGTGTGTGGGGGGGGGGGTGTGGTCTGCTCCCCAGCAGCATCCTCACAGGCAGGGTTCCCTCTCAGCTGAGTCAGTGTGAGCCAGCTCACAGTTTTTTTAGCCTCCGGCTCACACATTTTTGCCTTAGCTCAGGAAGGATGGGGCTCCGGAGCAAACTCATTGATGCCGTAGTAGCCCAATGGCTCGCTCACAGCTTTCATGCCGGCAGCTCACACAGCAGGATTGCCGCTCAGGAGACTCCGCGGCGGCTGAGAGGGGGGCCACGTGGGTCCTCTCACCTCGTTCTCCCAGCTGTACTTGATCTCGTACTTCAGGATGAGGCCGTTGGGGTTCTTGGGCTCCTCCCATCTCAGGTGGACGCTGTTCTTGTTGGCCGCCTCCCAGGTCACGTTGCCGGGAATATCGTCCGCATGAGCTGGGGTGGGGAGAGGAGGGGGGAGGAGGAGGGGGGAGACGGGTTCACACAGGATCCGGTTGGGTCTTCATCTCAGGTAGGGGTCCCCCCCCCAAAAAAAAGAGAGAGGGGGGAAGCGGCCCCCGGGCGCACGGGTGCTTACGTTCCGGCATGGTCCTGGCAAAGACAAAAGTGGCCGCGCTGCAGCCCACGGTCTGCGCGGCATGGTTGCAGGCGTGGATGTCGATGCGGTACTCCGTGAAGTGGCACAGGTGAGAAATGACAGTCCGATCCCGAACCACTTTGTCTTCAAAGATGCGGAACTCCGCCTCAGCTTTAGGGTCGGCCCCCGTGCGGTTCAGGCCGGCCGCGTTCCCCGGGGTCTCCAGAGAGGAGGCGTCGGGGAAGACGTGGCCGAGCGTGGTCATCAGTGCCGAGGTGTCCCGACGCCTCTTTGGGATCCTGTGCAGGCCAGGGGTAGAGAAGCGAGAAAGTCCGTGAGGTCCGGGCAGCAGGACTGGGACCTGGCCTGGGCCAAGCCTGACCGCTAGCCTCCCAAATAATAGGGAACAAGTGGAGGGGCCAAGCGTCCACCAGGAAGACCCCCCGAGCGAGGACCTCGCATCAGACATGCAGCAGGCGTTGTGTGCCGTCCAGACACACGCCGGCCCTTGTCTGCTCCCCCCCCCCGGGCATGCTGGGAGAAGCCGCTACGGCCTCTCCCTGAGGACAGTTTTGCCTCCTCCGACCACCCTGTGAAGCCACCACTGGCTCCGCCATGGAAACCACAAATCACCACGAGACTCCCACGGCCGCCGCTCATACAAAGTCGTGATGTTGCCCCCCAGTAAAGAGGAGGGCTCCGTCTTGTGACTCTGTCTTCACCGGCCCCTTGAGATGATGCATGGGGAAGTCACGAGGAGCCATGTTGGGGGAGGCACCACCTTGTGGACGGAGGGTGATCACGCCAGCCTTGCAGGGGGGCTTGCAGGGGGGCTTCCCCCCTCCTCTCTGCTGCTGGTCGGCTCCATTAGGCGTTTTCAGAATCAAGGCACGCGGTGCCTCAGCCTTAAGTCCCAAGAGCAGCACTCGAGCCCCACGGCAGGGGAGGAACCCCCGGGAGCCCCCCAAGCGCCTCAATCCGGGCACCGTGGGGGCAGGGGAGGACCCGGTGAGGCAGAGGCGATGCCGGTGGGGAGGACGGAGGCCCTGGGACGGGGTTCTGCTACCCACCCGTTCACCAAGAGAGCCAGTCAGTCAGGAGGGTTGCCAGCTCCAGGTTGGGAAATTCCCCTGGAGGGTTTTTTTTGGGGGGGTGGAGTTTGGGCCTGGGGAGGGACCTCGGTGGGGGTTTAATCCCACACCGTCCGCCCTGCAAAGCGGCCGTTGCCTCCAGGCGAGCCGACCCCTGCAGTCTGGAGGTCAGCTGTCATTCCGGGGGCTCTCCAGGCCCCACCTGGAGGACGGCCACCTCCGCTAGGAGCTCGGGGGGGACTCTGCTGGACCCGGCTCCTTGGCGGGAGACGCAGACAGACATGGTGTGTCAATAGTGCCAGCCTGGGAAGGGGCACTGCCCGTAGCACAGCTGGCACCAAAACCCCGAGGAACCCGTAAAACCCACAGGGCGGCCCACAGGAGTGCCCATCGTGTGGACAGAGGCCGCCGGCCGCCTTGAGCAGGTGCCCTTTCCCTGAGCCCCGGGGGATGAGAGGAGGCTGGCAAGGAGTGCGGCCTTTGCCCACGTTGGCCCTGTCTTCATGCCCAACGCGGGGGCCAACCCCAGCTCGCAGCAGGCAGGACAAACCAGCCAAACCAGCCACACGGCACGGGGCTACGACACGCGGGCCCCTGCCGGGAGGACTTGCCATCTTGCGCCACGGCGACAGCACGCACACACGCACACACGACACAGAGGTGGGAGGAACTCCTGCAGGTGGCCAGCAGGCCCCCACAGAGGTTACCCGCCTTGCAGCTGCAGGGGCACCCTCCCTCGACTCCCTTTCCAGACAACACAGTCCGGAACCGGGCAGTGGGCCATGGGCCAGTGGGGCAGCAGTGACACCAGCTGGCCACCCAGCAGCCAAATACCCCCCAGCACAGGTAGACGGCCGGGAATGCTCCCTGTGGCACTCCAAACCTATGCCAATAACTCCTGGCTGCCATTGGGAACAGAGCCCAGATGCCAGAGGGGGCGGAGGGAGGCTGCAGGAGGCGAACTCTTCCCTTCCCCTCGTCTGCAGCAGACCGCGAAAGCCACTTACCTGTAATAGGTCTTGTTCACAGAGGTTACTTTCCAGGGAGGCCTGGGAAAAGAGTGAATAGAAGGACATCAGGAGAGCCCAGCCGGGTCAGACCAGGTATGGTCCATCCAGCCCAGCCTCCCGTCTCACTCAGCAGCCAGCCAGTTCCTCCTCTGGAGGGCCAGCAACAGGGCATAAGAGGCCGAGGCCTTCCCCTGAGGAGAACCTCAGAAGAGCCCTGCTGGGTCAGACTAGTGAGGGGTCATCCAGTCCAGCCTCCTGTCTCACACAGTGGCCAACCAGTTCCTCTGGAGGGCCAACAACAGGGCAGAGAGGCCGAGGCCTTCCCCTGAGAAGGACCTCAGAAGAGCCCTGCTGGGTCAGACTAGTGAGGGTCCCTCTAGTCCAATGTCCTGTCTCACGCAGTGGCCTCAACCAGTTCCTCCGGAGGGCCAGCAACAGGCAGAGAGGCCGAGGCCTTCCCCTGAGAAGGACCTCAGAAGAGCCCTGCTGGGTCAGACTAGGGAGGGTCCACCTAGTCCAGCATCCCGTCTCACACAGTGGCCAACCAGTTCCCCTGGAGGGCCAACAACAGGGCAGGGAGGCCGAGGCCTTCCCCTGAGAAGAACCTCAGAATAGCCCTGCTGGGTCAGACCAGTGAGGGTCCGTCTAGTCCAGCATCCCGTCTCACACAGTGGCCAACCAGTTCCCCTGGAGGGTCAACAACAGGGCAGGGAGGCTGAGGCCTACCCATGAGAAAAACCTCAAAAGAGCCCTGCTGGGTCAGACCAGGGAGGGTCCATCCAGTCCAGCATCCCGTCTCACACAGTGGCCAACCAGTTCCTCTGCAGGGCCAACAACAGGGCAGGGAGGCTGAGGCCTACCCATGAGAAAAACCTCAAAAGAGCCCTGCTGGGTCAGACCAGGGAGGGTCCATCCAGTCCAGCATCCCGTCTCACACAGTGGCCAACCAGTTCCCCTGGAGGGTCAACAACAGGGCAGGGAGGCTGAGGCCTACCCATGAGAAAAACCTCAAAAGAGCCCTGCTGGGTCAGACCAGGGAGGGTCCATCCAGTCCAGCATCCCGTCTCACACAGTGGCCAACCAGTTCCTCCGGAGGGCCAGCAACAGGGCAGAGAATCATAGAATCATAGAGTTGGAAGGGACCTCCAGGGTCATCCAATCCAACTCCCTGCACAATGCAGGGAATTCACAAATACCTTCCTCTCCACACCCACAGTGACCACTGTTCCAGGCCCAGAAGATGACAAAAAACATCCAGGATCTCTAGCCAAACCAGCCTGGAGGAAAATTGCTTCCTGACCCCAAAGTGGCGATCGGCATTC